ATATGCACTTTTTGCTTTAGTGGCGGGGCTTATTCGGAAAAGATCCCGTTGAGGTACTAAAGCATACAATAAGCATTCCATACTATTTTCAGTACTCAAAATTTCCCACTACCACGTTCTAGACACCTCACTTTGTATAAGAGATGGCTGACTTGACAGAAATTCGAACTAATTCGAACGGTGATTCTAATATTCAACCGGTTCTATAGCTGGATTCAAGATAGCACTTGATTAGCAATCGACCAATCAACAGCGGCTGTCTACTGTCCCGAAGTACTTATTATTTAGTGGCGATTTTATCGTAATTCCACGTCTTCACGGAACAACGCACCCGTTTCTAGCATCTCCTACACATCCGGTAAACTTGCCCACCTCAAAGGCGCTACTCATTTAATTCAAACTTTCCTGAATTCGGTGAAACCTCGGGTTCTGCACTGCACTGCTTTGTTCTACGAATGGTTAAATTTTGGGCGTCAGCTATGAACTTCAAAGGTCCAGGGACTTTGATGCGAACAGGGTGGTGGATGTGCCTAGTTGAAAGCCACGATCGATGAAAAAATGAAGACAAAAGAAGTTTGAAGATTTCCACATGAGTAGGACGAAGAATCTACGCTTGAGGATGCATATAGCCACTGCTTAGGATTTTACTCGCGTTTTCTCCAAGTGATTTGATACGGAATAGTTCAGTAGAGTTTTTCTGCTCGCAAACCGTGCACTGCTACAGTTCCGTTCACCGAGGAATTTAACGCACTGGAGGCCTTTTGCAAGCAGTGACGTCTGCGTGTACGGGGGTGAAAGCTACAGAGGTTAAGGGTGACATAGCTATTTCAATCTGGGTCACTAACCACTGAGTTCCAGAGGTCTCTACCCGAGGAGATAGCAGCTCCCAGCGCGACCCACCTCAAGGCACTTCAAAGACTAAAGTGTCTGCACGGTGGGTATCTTTTATGGTGAGGAACCAGTCTGTTTTTTTTTACATTTGTCAATCTGGTTCAAGCAATTCTCTGTAGCCGGAAGTAAAACAGCTTTTGTCTCTCGTTCAATTGTTCACGCGGGCCACAGCGAAACACTAGATATATGCACGCTGTAACCGCAAAAGGTATTACGTACCGTATTTTGATCTTTGACTTGCGGTTCCACCACCAGTTTATGCCAGAAAGCACGATCGCCTGAGAACAGTGTGTAATGTACGCCGAATAAAATTATCTAAACCATATTTATAGAGTTATCGGGGGAATTTTTCACCAGACCAAGCTAGAATCATTGTGATGGGGCGAGAAGGTCCAAACTACAGGTGCTCAAATATGATTGGCTCACATTCTGACCAATCAGGGCATACCTTCATTTGGCTCGCGATGCATCCGTGATGATGAACATCAATTAAACATCTACCTTTAGTGACTGAATTGTGTCAGTTCTTTCTTTTCGATTTTGATATCGGAGTTCATTTAAACCCACGGCGCGATAAGGTGAATACTTTGTGTGTCTTTCTGGTGAACGGGCTCTATGGAGCATGACAGTAGCGGACTACTTGAGGGAGGAAAGAATGTTAGCAGTTTGGAAAAGATTTAAACACGCACACAGCATGCCAAGACACAGTTCTCGGTCGTTGTTTCACGTGAAAAGTAAATTACAGTCCGTTTGTCAGTTTGGAACATTTGTTTGTAACATCGCACCTATCCTTCCCGAACGTATGCCACCTGGTGTTTTTCTCACCTGCTCACGTATCTCACTGATGGCTATTTTTGTCTCATTCTGTTATTTTTCACTATGTATCTTGTTGAAAGATATGATACATCCTTCCTGTGTGAAAAAACCTCGCCTCACTGGGCATTAATGCCTGAGTTTCACTCCACATTCCCAGTTGCTGCGAGCGCTATTCTCAAATACAACCTGCATCTAATTTAGAAACCAGTCAGGTATTTCTGCCAATCAACTTCATTCAGTCGCTGATTTTTGACCTGATGTGAATCACTGGATGAATGGAACAGCGCTAGAACCTGTAGCAGTTGCCCAATCTGATTGGTGCATGCGCATCCGTTGTCTTCCTCGTGCTTTTTTTGTTCCACATCCCAGACAAGACGTGACTTGTCTGGATTGACGACAGCGTCTATATGATCCCTCTCCAAAGGGGGGAGTATTTGTAACGCTTACCTTTCTGTTTAATTACTCCTCTAATCAATTTCCCACCGTTACCTACTACCCCCATTCCATTCCATCTGTCTCACAATCGCGTGTCAAAATCGTGACATGAATGCGACAATATGTCAACTCTCGTTTTGAACGACACCAGGTGAGTTCACATTGTTTTCACGCACGTTCCACTCATCGCAACGACATAGAGATATAAGGAAAGAACACGGTCAACCGCGCATGCACACGCATCACGCGCGCGTCACCAAAAACTGCGGACAACCGGGAACGTGTAGCATTGAATCTGCCAAAGGAAACACGATTACCTGTGACCAAACGAACTCGGTGGAGCTATTACAACTTACACTCAGAACAACAAGTCCTTCGTTTGAACCTTTCTATTTTTGGTACTGTATTCAACTTGAGTGAGGTGCGCCTAGTTGTTGTAACCTCACGCTTTCAAAGCACAGGTTTTATTAGCGTCTCTTTCTCGCCTTCTGATTTACCAGGTGGTTTTTGTTGTTAACAAAAGAGAACACTAATAAACCAGCTAGATGTCTGGTACTCCTCATTTCCACAAATATGATTGGTCGGCAGTTGAGCGCCGAACAAAATGACATCGCATGTCGAAGGGGAGAACTATCCTGGACATATCGGGCACAGGCTGCGGCCGTTATCACTAAATGTCTTAACTGGTGGAATAGGCCTGCGGGGATTCGTCTGGTGGTTCTTCCACGATATGTCATCATTCTGACATTTGTCTGATAGTATGTGAGACATGCTCTGGTTGACGGTTGTCTCAGCGTCAGGGTAGTCGTAAGTTTGTTATCGAACAAACTGTTTTTTTTTGACACAAACTTTGCTCCGGTGATCTTCACAAGGTAGTCACGGAAACCCATTGTCCTCCAAAAAGTCAAGCTCCAGAATGACAGAGAAAACCTTGGCAAAATAGTTGAGGAATTCCAGAAGATCACGTGATCACACAAGAGTGTCATGAACAAAGTGCTGTCAATCGCGGGCCGTGATCATGAACAAAGTGCTGTCAATCGCGGGCCGGGAAATCCTGACCTCAGGAAGCCACGAGTTTTTCACTAGTCTTTACGATGCTCTCTGAAGATCCATCAGATGCGCACCGTGGACGATTCTAACTGGGGATAAATCTGCTGTACAGTATTTCTCGGCGTTTCAGCATAAAATGGCTTCTCAAATCTTCGCAAACTATCAACCTTCTATGAGTAGCCTGGAAGAATGACATTTCACAGGAAGCGAGACTTCTTTCTGAGATGTCATCACTTGAGGAAACGGTCAACATGTGACTGCATGATGTGGATTCTGTGACCGAGGAATGAGTGACTTTCTGTTCTGTCTAAGTGAGAGCTAATCACATTGCTGATCAGCCGCTCTTGGCCGAACGTTTACGTTTTCAAACAGGCTGGTGGAAGAAATACACTCATTTGAAATCAGTTTGGTTTTCATGAGAGACTCAACTGAATCTCTCGTTTATGATATTCTACAAGTGAATGTGCTGCACACAGGCCGCCTCATGTTTCAGTTGGCACGATATTCGAGAAATCGCAGTACATTTTCATAAAGGAAACTACTCACGAGTTTGCTGAAAACTCTTCGACAGCTCACGACCGGTTTCGCCCTTCCACTTCGGGCTCATCAGGGAGGCGCAGTCCCCAGTTTCCGTCAACCTTATGATCTACTTGAACCCAAATCTCACTGTTTTCGAGAAATACACTCGTTTGCAAATCAATTTGGTTCTCACGAGTGACTCAACTGAATAGTTTCCCTCATGAGGTTGACGGGAGGCTGCAGGCGTCATTCTTGCTGGATTGTCGTGAGTTGTACAGTGTTGATGATTCTCAATGAAACAGATGTACGAGATTACCCAGCCTTGTCAGCATTGATTGGTGGGATGAAAAAACCTCAGGTGAACAAAATGTGTTCAAAGTTGAACTACTCGGAGTCTAAACACTACCGGTGATTCATTCTACAGATATTAAGGGTGTGTGTGGGTACTGGATGTTGAATACTTATCAAAGGTCATTAGTCATTGGCTTCATGTGAGACGTAGGGGACGTCTTCTTGCGGGCTAGGATGGATGAAACTCAGGTCCCTAAGGCGGGGGAGACAGTCTTCTGTTGTGAGAAATCTTGGTACGCGGTGATCTGGAGTCAAGACCATAAAATTCTATGGCTGCTGGTCAAATACGAGGAGAGTGAAGTGTTTCCAACCCCAAGGGGGGGGGGCGAGGTGACTCAGTGGTTAGAGCGCAGAAATCTTGGCGGTGATCTGGAGTCAAGACCATAAAATTCTATGGCTGCTGGTCAAATACGAGGAGAGTGAAGTGTTTCCAACCCCAAGCAAGGGGGGCGGGGTGACTCAGTGGTTAGAGCGCGAACTTACTGACTGGAAAAGCCGTGGTTCGAATCCGGCCTCTGCCACTCGACATCCTCTGTCTAGGCTTGGGCAAAGTGGCAGTATCTCAGCCCTCGTGCCTCCTTCGTGTGGCATGGCAGCTAGGCACCGATAGGGTGCTTTAGATGGACGATTATTTATTTTGGGGTATTTTTGTTCATAGCCACATCACTCTCGTTTGAACGGCCGTGTTCCTGTTCTGGCGTAATTATTCCGGTGAGTCTACACCAAATGGGGGAAGCACTGGACTCGAGTTTCGCTCGGTCAATCGATCGTCAATTCGATCGTTTGATGAGTCGGGCACACCAATCACATCGTTCGAATGTGAACACGTTCGCCTGTTCAGACGTGACAATTCAGCGTCCAACGTGCGTCCACGCTCGCCTCGCATGTCAGATATCCGAGGTTCGAATCTCGGCACGGTCATTGGACACGCACTGCTGATGAGCTCTAATAAGAGCGAAACTCAAGCCCAGTGCTTCCCCCGTTTGGTGTGGACTCACCGGAATAATTACGCCAGAACAGGAAGACAGCCGTTCAAACGAGATTGTTTGTTTATTATTTACTTTTGTTTCCAACCCCAGCAACCAGCACTACCAAACGCAGGAAGTCGCCTTCACCTGTGGGTAGAAAAAGCAGGCCCTAAAATGGCATGCTCAGATGGACCAGCTGTTGCCGGTGTCCCCAATAGTCAATTTTGTTATGAGACTGGCAGTGCCATTCATCTTTGGCTTGACAGAAAAGCTGACCAAATCCCGTCCGATCCGTCGTGATAGGCTCTCGGTACCTGAGGACCATGCGTCACTGCACTTCACTGCCGGACTTTCTCAGCTGACGCCAACGTGACTGAGTCAGTCATGGACGTCGTACATCCCAAACGAGACCTAGTGAGGATACACGACTGCTTAGATCTCCCGTAAAACCCAAGACCAATAAGCGTGGCTTTTCCTCTGAAGTTAGGCCCTTGCCGTCCACAAAACGGATGGAGCGCCTTACTAACCGGTCGGCTGTCGTGTTATCAGATTGGTTTGTTCCTGAGATCAGTTGGCGGTCAGATGACACCAGAAAGTTTAGGTGTGAGTTGGCTATGCATGTACGTACGCGTGTGATTGTGTGTAGTTTGACTATCACTGTTTTGGCTCCAATCTGTCGTTGCTTAGAATCTTTTGTTGCTTCTGGCCACTGTCTACTACGGTGTTCAGGCTCACTTGGAACCCGGCTGAATCTCCCGTTTGTGAGGTCTCCACGCAACTGAATAAGCTGCACCAGGCCGCCCCATGTTTCAGTTGCTACGATATTCGAAATGTCGTGATACATGTATATTCGCAGCGCACTACTCATAAGGTTGCTGAAATCTTCAGTAGCTCACGCGGGTAGACGGAAACTCGGGGACTGCGCGCCTACCTGTTGAGCTCAAAGTGGAACGGCAAAACTGGTCGTGGGTTGTCGGAGAGTTTTCAGCAACCTTGTGAGTAGTCTGTTTTATGAAAATAAACTGTGATATCTCGAATATCGTGCCAACTGAATCATGTGGCAGCCGGTGTGAAGCACATTCAGTTCTGGAATATCATAAACGAGAGATTCAGTTGAGTCTCTCGTGAAAACCACAAATTGATTTGCAAATGAGTGTATTTCTGGAAAACAGTCCAATTTGGGTTCAGGTAGAGCATAAGTTTGACAGAAACTCGGGGACTGCGCCCACGTGATGAGCCCCAAGAAGGGCGAAATCGGTCGTGGGCAGTCTAAGAGTTTTCAGCAGCCTTATGAGTAGTACATTACGTATATATTGTGTCGTCCGATTGGTGTGTTTCTGAGACCAGTTGGCAGTCACATGACACCAGAGTGCTTGGGTATGTGTTGACTATGTATGTGTGTATTCGTGTGTTTGGGTGATTGGAGTACCTCCATTTGTCACTGTGTTGGCTCCGATGTGACGCTGCTTAGATCCCTTGGTTACCTCTAACCAAGGTAACCTCTCTACTACGGTGTCCAGGCCAGATAGACTGGATGCTCGTGTCATCAATTGTATTGGTCCCCAAGGCTTCAAAGTACATCTGCTTTCCGTGTGTGATTCGAATCCTGACCGGAGTGCAACCGAAGTTCGTCTGATGGCTTGACCCAACTGCGTGCAGTGCAATGGCTGAGTTGCTGAGTTCAAGTTCAGGAGAGGGGCCTTTGTCCTTATAAGGTGCCGTTGTGAGGTGTTATCACTTCGCAAGCATATTTTCATATAATACTTCCAGAGTATCTTCCGAACGACATCGGACTTGCTTTTTCTCACGGTTAACACCAGGTTTCCCTCTCCCTTTCTCGTTTTTCCAGGTAGCGTTCTCTCCATCGGTTGGGCCAGGACCCCTAGTTGTTTTGATGTAATGTTATACTGAGCCTTTTCTGTTCATCCGAGCGCAGTTTCTTCACACAATTCACCAGCAGTGCGTTTGACGCAGTGTGAATGAGGGGCTTCCGGCTTCCCCCCCCACAGCGTATTGCTTGTTGGTCGAACAGGTGTAATGAACAGGATTGAATATCTACTTTGGTCGACAAAAGTAGTCATGAAGACGGAAAATTTGCTCACATGTTGACCCCTCGAATAACGTGGAGTTTGGAGGCCAAAAACGAATTGTAATAATTCACTAGGGAAATACACTCGTTTGCAAGCGAATTCACTTCTGCGAGAGGCTCCTCTGGAATCCAGCTGAATCTCCCTTTTGTGATGTTCCTAGGCAACTGAGTGTGCTGCACCAGGCCGCCTCATGTACGTATGTTTTAATACACTACTCATAAGGTTGCTGAAAATCCGTCGACAGCCCACGACTGGTTTCTTCCATCTTGGGGCTCATAAACGAGAGATTCAGCTGGGTTCCAGGTGAGTCTC